TATTCTTGGCTTCGCTGGCGGCTCGCTTACACCACCCGAGTCCGCGACCAGCACGGGCGCAGATGGTGCTGTTATGGTTGTGCCTTTGATGTTTGTGAGGTGACATGTTCCTAATGCCGTGTATAGATGTAGCGAGCAGTCGAGCCTTGCCAAAGGACAACATAAACAGCGCGGCGAGATCATACGAGATTGTCAACTCAGATGCCAGAGGGATCGTGCGCGGGACCGCGGACGTGAATAATAAGTTGAGTCACTGTACACATTTTGTACGGGACCCTCACTTGTTGGCATTTCGTTGTCCACAGGACCGCCCCGAGCACTGGAGGTCTTTGGGCCAACTACATCGTGGTGCAAGCTTATCGATTCTTGGCGTGGGTCTGGCATTGCAGGCAGCTGCATGTACGCAATTTCTGTCCCTGTCTGAGGCAGTGGCGCTGCTTGGCTTTACAGTCGGTGCGTGGTGGAGTCCAGGATTCATGGCTTGGTTGATGCACGCCAGGCCTTTTCGCCGGCCAATGAGGCTCCGAAACACCCTGCAGAGATCTGATCCGTGACTTGCTGTGAGAGCGTGAGGCTGGATCTTTCATGCTGACTGATATCTCCAACGTCGATGCCGGCGCGGTATTCGTGGGGAGTTCCGGCCTCAGAGCAATCCTGAGACAAAGAGGCAGTCCATCACCTCTGAGCTCCTTGCGAGTGGTTCTTCTCAGCCACATCGCTACATGCGCGTAGCCAGTCGCGTAGCCAACTCGAGCGACCAGTCTAAATGGAATTAAATAAGAGAACCTAAACATACCCAATTGGAATAGAGCCCCACCTGCAAGGGCCTCAAACATGGGGAAACCACGGAAGTGCGGAATCGTGCATCTTGCAAGTTGAAGAAGGCACGGTCTACTCTTTACGTTTCGAGTTGAATATTCACCAAGACGAAGACGAAGCAGGAAACACTGTCGGCCGTGTGCAAGAGCGACATATCAGCTCACATTGCCGCTCCCGAGAGAAACCTGAGCAATTCCCTGACGGTGGGCAGCCAGCCAAGTGCGTACGAGTGTCCTCGAGAGTTCTTGCCGGAGAGAACTGACCGTCACAAGTCTTGACACGTGTGTCTGAGTCTGTGTTACTTTGGAAAAGTGGTGTGATTTTTCTTTTCAGTAAAGTGATACTATTCCAAGTTTGTGGATGCGGGTGATTTCTGGATTGCTTCAGAGATTGAAGGGTGCACCGAACGTGTACTCTCGTGGAGCGTCTCTGTTCGCGCCTTGATGGCAGAGCCTTTCTGCCGATAGAGTTCGAGTGCTTGTCTGCGCCAGCTTTCGGCGGAGATTGGGCTGGACTTGGCCTCGTGGATACCATTGCCTTCACAGCTGCTGAGATGCATCTTCTGCGAGAGAGGCGTGCATGAGATCTTTGCGAAGCTGTGTCAAAAGGTGCCTGCAAAGCTCAGGACAGCAATCCCGCTGAGAATCTCCTCACGGGCACGGTCACGTGGACTTTCAGTGCAACCACGGACCCGCTTGCAGCCTGCAATGTTCGACGGAGCAACAGCACATGGAGGTGTCAGACACATTGACAATACCTGATGCTTGGTAGGACTACGGCTTTGCAGCGGACTGGCGGGTTTACATCGCAGATGACACGCAGGGTGACCCTCAGTGTGGCACATTAAGGTGTGATTCTATGAGCAGGGGCGTCAGCGGGGCTTGCAAATCTGATCCGCATGTCGGGAGAGCCGAATATTGGAACTGTATACGCCCTCGTACAGCAAACCCACGAATTCTGATACGAACGGCTTTCCTTGCTTCAAGCAAAGTAAACTTTGTTCCTGCCGAGAGATGTTGGCCGAAGAGAACAGAACTCGGCCGAAGAGGTTTGGGACGCTGCGCAAGAGATACTTGGGGGCAGCAGGGACAGCAGCGCACTCTTCGATGCAAAACACCAGGTACGAACAGGCAGCTCCTGGGGACAGTAGCGAAGGAACTGACGGAGGTGGGTGGATCGCAGATGGCAGGGAAGCGCGCTTTTTCTATGCACCCTCAACCTTTGATCCTTGACATTGTTTGGCAGCTCTCGATCACGGACGAAGCTTGTGACCCGACTCATGTCTATGCAGCTTGGCTGCATCAATGCTCGGAGTATCTCTCATGCAGCTTGTCTTTGCTGTTGGGCTCCCGAAACAAGAGACGGACAGGTCTTGGTCTATGCCAACAATGAGCACGGAGAGTCACCCAACGCCGTGGCATACTCGGAGAAAGTGTGTAGTGTTGCACTGCTGGCCCTCGCGAATGTGATGACTGTCGTGTCCCAGCGATTGCATGCCAAGTCCTCGGTGTCCTTCTGGGATGATGGCCGCCCAACATCCACGACTGTCACAGTCACGTCCACCTCTGTAGATTGGCCTGGCTGCAAGGCTTGGACTCGAATGAGTGACGGGAACAGGGCATAGAGCGCAGTGTCGCATTGCCTCAGTCGGTGACGTTTACCGACACGGACACGGACGCGAACCAGCTTGGAGGCCTGAATCTGTGAGTATCGATCCTCTTGGGCATGTCGCGATTGTCGTGCGTGTTCCGGAAAGGAGTCATTAACTGGGTCCTCCCGGATGATTCGAGCGTGTTTAGTCACTGGACGGCCCGGGCAGCCCGGTGAGTGCCGCTTGCTGCTGTTCTGCCATTTGCACGCTTTTTTCATGCCGACATGCTGAGGTTTACATGGCGACCACTGCAGACAACAGCAATGGCCAAGCCTTGCAAGACAGCGTTGAGGGCTTCAACATCCCAGCCCCGACCTCGCAGGCCTTGCAGATTGCTTGGGCTCACACTCCGACTGCCGACTGAGGTGGGTCAAACAAGCCTCACTTTGCAGACCAACCAAGTGAGGCTGGGCTTTGGGAGTCAAAATGTCCTCACGACTGTGTGCGAAGCCGTGAGCATCCAACAAGTGTATGGTGAGAGCCAAAGGAACTTACATTCGGGATGGTAGTGTTTTACCCCTGTGAGTGTGAAGTAAGGGATGCAGGATCTTCTTGTAAGAGCGACACTTGAGCTTCAGAGGGCCATTGCTGATCCCATCCTCCGCCTTTTACAGTGACAGGCTTTGATGCGTCAAGTCGGTAGAGAAGGATACACCCCTTGCTGCCAGTATGTCCCATGTTTCTTGTTGTTTTGTAAGTGCTCCTGTGTCTTAGCGTGAACTCAGCTTTGTAAGCCAAGCAGCGGCGGAGCCTTCTGAGATATTTGTTGAGCCCGTTCTTGAGCCTGGACCTTTTACTGGGGGATGCTACTGTTTTCCTTGAGTTAGAGTTGCTAAACTGAGGGGGCTTGAAACGAATGCATGTCTAACCAACCAAGCCACCAGAGGAAAATCCTGTGGTGGAGGTCCAAAAATTTGTCGAGGGGTGGGGTGTCCGCCCTTCCTCTCTTGTCTGCGAGAGAGCGAGAGGGTCCAGGCACCTCAAACCGGCGGCTCCACACCTGACATCCTGCGAGGGGGGACTCGTCAGACCTTGCCGCAATCCGAGCACAGCTGCCAGTTTGTTGCACTACGCGTCCTCGCCATCCTCTTTTTCCGGGGGGGGTACGGTGCGATCGGTCCAGGAGGGTGCCGCTGCTGCTGCGAGGCGTGCCGGGGACTTCTCCTACAGCTACCTGCATTCGGCGAGCCCACTCGCCCACTACCCGCCGGGCCCGACCAGGGACAACCCCGACCTCGAACGACGACTACCTCATAGTGATCGTGACTCGGCAACCCGATCAAGAATGATTCCTACACCTACGCAGGAGGACAGCAACAAAGAAGGGGGGAAGCGCCAGAGGTCGAAGCCCTCAGCCTGGATGCTCTCAGAGAAGCGATCAAGGGGGAATGATGGGCCAATACCCAGTCCCTCAAGCAGGAAATCTCACAATTCGTCAACCAGCACATGGACAGAAGGTGGGTGCGCAGCTGGGACGCACGCTGGAGAGGCTCTCGCGCATCACGGAAGCCCAAAGAAGACCAGAGCCGACCAGTCGAAGTCCAAGTGGAGCAGAAGGAACTTGCGGGGAGGATCGCGGTGCTGGAACAAAACGTGCAACAGTTCCAGATGCACGGGGGAAGCTCGGGGATGGGCCGCCGCAGAAACGCTGCAAAAGGCGACGGACATGACGCAAAAACTGCGCGTAGACATCGACATGGACACATGCAGCCTTCTGCTCGGGGGGTCCAATGCGGTTACGCGGTGGTACCCTACAAGGCGAGAGTCGGGGAATCACCGGAGGCGATCAGAGAGCGACTGCAACAAGCCAACAAAAGAGTCAGGACAGCCAATATCGCCATGGGCATGCGGGGGGACGACAAACCGCGCCATTTGTGCATGCAGCTCTCACATGCAGTCCCGGAAAGGCACCAACGCGCCGAGCT